GACGATAATGCACCCTTGTTTACCCACAACAGATGGGAAAAATTCTCATTCTCCATGGTCATATCCGGTGGAGGATTCAACACTTTCTCTATGGGTATAGCGAAAAGAAAATTCAACGAGCTGATAGATGCGCCCCTAATCCAGAACGTGACCCTTGACAGGTTCCGTGGAAAGTCCGAGCCTAATCACCTTTTACCTCGAGGAACAGCCCGACAGAGCTCCCAACTCCAACATCCATTTGCTCGTGAGAGCAAAAATGGCCAACTTTGACGTGCACTGCATTCTGGTCGACAAGGGGAGTTTCGCTGACAACATGTATACTCATTTTTTCCAAACTCTCTGGCTCGACAGGACCCACTTGCTACCATACGTGGGATCCGACTTGCAAGGCTTTAATGGCCCAGCCTTTAAGCCATGGGGCTATGTTGAGCTGCTTGTCACATTCGGGATGGAAGCTGCCTCTAGGCAGGTCAAGGTCTGCTTCCTGGTGATCGACTGTCTGTATCTTTACAACTGCATCCTGGGGAAACCAACGCTGGCCGAGCTGACCGTTGTGCCCTCCACGGTCCACTTAAAAATGAAGTTCTACACGAAGAGGGACCGCGTCGCCACCATCCAAGGAGACATCGAAGCTGCGAGAAGATGTTTTAATGCAGCCTCAAAGGGATAAAACATGATCGACACAAGGCCAAAAACTTCCAGTGGAATAACCTCCTCTGCAAACAAGCCCGCTCAGACTGAAGAACGGAAGCCCCCCCCCCCCCTATGTTGGCTCCATTGACCTCGACGCTCGCTTCACCAAAGATGAGGTCGAAGTCCCCAATGGTAAACACGATCCTCTTCGTCTCGTCCTTAATGGAGACTTTGAAATCATCCTCCTCGACAAGGACCCGAACATAAGCGTGGAGGTTAGAGTTGTACTACCCGATCTGGCGAGGAAGCAACTCAAAGTATGTCTGAGAGAGAACGTTGATTTGTTCGCGTGGAGCGCAGAAAAAATGCTCGGACTCAACCCTAAGGTCGCCTGCCACCAGCTCGCTATAGATCCTACTACTAGGGTTGTAGTTCAACGTAGGCGTAAACAGTCTTCCGAGAAAGCGGAGGCTGTTGAAAATGTTATAAAAGACCTCCTAGAGGCAAATTTTATTTCTGAGGCCCGATATTCAACCTGACTCTCCAATGTTGTACTCAATAAGAAAAATAATGGAAAATGGCATATGTGTGTTGATTATACTGATCTAAACCGGGCATGTCCCAAAGATGTATATCCTCTACCTAATATTGATATGTTGGTCGAAAACTCCGCTGACTATAAACTCTTATCATTTATGGACGCATATTCAGGTTATAGTCAAATCCTCATGGCGATGAGAGATAAATAGTGGACAACTTTCATGATCGAGTCGGGCATTTATTACTACAACGTAATATCCTTCGGCCTGAAAAATGCAGGCGCAACGTACCAACGGATGATAAACAAAGTCTTTTGCGATGAGATCAGGGACATTCTCGAGGTATACATTGACGACATGATCATAAAGTCTCAAGCAGAAACCGATCACGCGACCCACCTAAAAAGGGTCTTCGACCGAGCAAGGCGGTGCAAGATGAGATTCAACCTAGAGAAATGTACATTTGGGGTTATGGCGAGCAAATTCCTCGGTTTCTACTTGATAGAACGAGGGATCTAAGCTAATACCGACAAATGCAAGGTCTTATGAGCTCCCTACGTTAAACTCAAAAAAATCCATACAAATCTTAAACAGTATGCTCACCTCGCTCTCTCGCTTTGTGGCGAAGTGCGCACAACATGCACTCTAAATTTTCAAACTCTTACGCAAAGATGTAACATTCGAATGAATCGAGGAGTGTGAGTAAGCCATTCTCCACCTCAAACGATCTCTCTCACAGCCATCTGTGCTTTCACGACCAGAGAGCAAGGAGACTATGTTACTCTACCTGGCCATCTCAGTCGAGGTCGTTAGTGTAACACTCATTCGTGAAGCTCCGGACGGGTAGAAATCGATATACTTCACCAACAAAGCACTACAAGGCCCCAAGGTCAGATATCAACAAATAAAAAAAGTAGCATTAGCCCTCATCAATGAGGAGAGGAGACTCAAATATTACTTCCTGGCCCACACGATCATTGTATGTACCGACCAACCTGTAAAGCAACTACTCGAGCGACCAAACATGGTCGGTCGGATGTTGAAATGGTCCCTATAACTACTTGAGTTCGACATCTGGTATGAAAACAGGAAATCCTTCAAAGCCCAAGCCCTAGATGACTTCATCGCAGAGATGACCACCCTCGAACCCTCTACAAGCAGAGTCTGATAGTGGACAAACTTTGTGGATGGAGCATCCAGTTCGACAGGGAGCAGAGCAGGCATCCTCCTCGAGAACGAAGAAGGTGTCGTAATCGAACATTCACTCGCTCTATCATTCCCAACGTCGAACAACCAAGCTGAATACGAAGCCCAACTCGCAGGGTGTCGGCTAGCCAAAGACTTGGACGCGCAGGAAGTTCAAATTTTCACCGACTCCCAACTCATCGCATCCCAAGTACGAGGAAAATATCAGGATAAGAACGACAGCCTCATCGAGTACCTAAACCTAGTTAAAGAAAAAATGAAAAGATTCACCAACACAGAGATCAAGCATGTTCCCTACGAACGAAACACTCAGGCCGATGTACTATCGAAACTCGCGAGTGTCGCACTGTATATGCGAAAATATAGCGATAAAAGTTTGAGACTAAGCCACTAATTGACTTAATTCACACAATGAAGTTGTCACCGCACTTTACTGTTTCCAAATGGAAATGGGAAAAAAACGAACAAAACACAAAATGAAATAAAAGACCAGAGATCAAGGTACGGAGATCGGTTATGCAAAGGGAATGTATTAGCACCCTAAGCATCTACGATACTTCATAGGATCCATTTTGTTTGTTCTAAATCAGAGAGTGTGTTATCTAAAGCTTAAACTTGCTAAAGGAAAATGGATGAAAGAGTTATTAAAGAAATAAAAGAAAATGTTTTTTATTATTGCGTCTGCCGCAGTTGCGAACCTTTGTGCCTACGTACCCCCTTCGTGCAAAAAGAGATCATCACACTCGTTCTTCTCAAAATGACAAAATTGTGATGTGTTGATTGATTTTAAAAGAGACAAGTCGTCGTTTTTAAGGAGAAGACTCGTCTAAAACACCCACAAGGTATAAGAAAGAAGGAGAGAGACTATGTACCAACATGAGGGAGGGTTTGAGAACGCCTCTAGTACTCAAGTAGAAAAGTTGACAACCAAGTGGATAGAGGAATAACATCTCAATTAAAAATGAATCATGTCTAATCTTGAAAAAGGTTTTAAAGGAAAAGGTGCTCGAGCGCACAAAAAGATTTGAATGAGTTAAAGTATTTTGTTAACTTGAAAAGGATTTGCGAATTGAATCGTAATAAAATCTGAAAATGAAGAAAGAGCAAGGTTCTGAAATGCATATGATTCACATCACATCTTTATATATTAAGTTTTTTAGGTTTGATTACAAAAGTTTGAAAAGAAAAGTCGCTTGACAAAGTCAAGGTTTACTGTGAAAACGGTTAAAATTAGAAAACAAGAAGGTTTTGAAAAAAAAGATAAGAAGGTTTTGAAAATTGAAGAATGGAAGGAGATGAAGAAAGTATCTTATGTACAGGAAAATAAAAGAATAGGTAAAGAAGATCTGACCGAACAAGAAATCAATACTTGACATAATAAAGTCAATAGAACGTTCTCATCCCTTTGGATTAAAGCCACAAGCAGATAAATAAGCCAATAATATACCAAACTTCAGGTGAAAATAAATCACAGACAGGCAGCATCAAAGAAATCCAAGGCATTAGATAAAACTTAAAGCATTGGATAAAGTGCATCAAGTGAAAATAAATCACAAGTCGTGAGAGTGCACCAAATAAGCTCAAAGTGTTGGATAAGAATCTTTGTATCAGATGAAGTTCCCAACAAACAGACAAAATCAAAATAACATAGAAACAATCTGAACATCTCGTGTGAAATAAAAATCAAGCCCAAGCGGACTAGAAACTTGTATCAAAGCTAAAATGAAACAAATGAAATATGAAAGAGATGTTTAATTAATTAACTTAAAAATTAATTAAGTTAATTAATTAAATTTAAAAAATTAATTAGCTGAAACTAATTAATTTTTAATAACGAAATTAAATAACTAAATTGACTTTTAGTTAATTAACTAAAAACAATAAAGTGGTGTCATATGAGCTATCTTGAAAACCTTTACAAACAAAAGACAAATTAGTAATCACAAGAGAAATTGTAAACCAAATGAAACTTGTATCGAAGTGCATGAACAAATGAATATTTATCAATCAAAAACCAAGAAAACAAGTTATGTAAATACAAAAATCAACTTTGCAATCATTGTTCCAAACACGTTCAAAGTCATGTAATCATAATGGTAAACATAATTATTAATTTACAAACGAAACCGGGAATCTAAAAACTCATGCTATTGTTCAATTCAACTTTAAAACATAATAAATCAAGTTCACAACAAGCTATAATCAAACAAACTAAAATCCAGGCAGCACTATACATATGAGACAAAGCACGAAAAATTCAATCTCAAACATGTTTGATAACTCAACACCACAAACAAGCTTTATTCAAAATTAATTCCATCAATACGGTGTCGACACCAACTTCACAAACAACACCATAATCATCAATAGAAGCTCCATTCAAATTAAACTCAAATCAAATGACATTATCACAAAGTCTCAATCAAATTAATCCAAACAAACAAACATGGTGTCTAATGCTAAAGTCAATCATAACCTATCATTAGAAACTCACAAACCTATCACAAATTAATCAAACAATTTAACACAAATGAAAGTTTATTTACATTAAAACTTTACCATCCCAAACTTAACACAATACAACATCACCAATTAATTCAATTAAAACAAAATAGAAATTAATTAAGTGAAAAATGGTGAAGGAAGTGTTACTGAAATGGCAGCTTGCGGTGACAGGGGTACCGTGAATGGCAGCTGCTCTGTTCGGAGGGAGCTTGCGGTTTGCTGCGTTGATACGGCAGATGAGTTAGCTGTAAAGGCCCTACAACACAAATTCCATAACAAATTTCTGAACCCAAAACTCACACAATGAGGTGAAGTGTTGTTCACAATAGGTGAGGATGGTAAGCGGATGTTGGACGTTGCGGAAAACAGAGAGAAATGGAGGTGGTGAGGTCTATGAGTTATCGGTGGAAAAGTATGGGATGAGCGTTTGATACGCGGAACCAAAGAGGAGGATGGTGTGCGATTCAGACGGAGGGGTATGGAGTTTGAAGGGTAGCAATTTTGGTAGTAGTGATACCGGCTGTGGGTGGAAGGAAAGAACGGAAAGTTGGTTTTATAGTGGTGTGGGATTATTGTGGGTTATGGATCATGGAGAGGAAGATGAAGTAGATTGGATTCTTCACAATGCTTCTACGTTTTCTTTCGTTTATCTGGTGCCTCCCCTGGATCAATCTCATCTTCTAACATTTATACTCCACAATTAGGTTTAATAAATTAGAAATGACTAAAAAACCCTATGTATAAGACCGACTAAAAAGATAGAACGAATACAAATAAACATTCAAAAATATTTTCGTTTTAATTTTTCAAAATAAAAAATGGAACACCTGAAATTGTCTAAGAGCATCTCCAACAGTAAACTCATTTTTGGGTTTTTTGGAGACTCATTAATCCACATCAGTTTGAATTAACTTAGTTTTTCACTCCAATGATGCAATTCTAAAAAATTCATATTAGATCTCACAACTTTATTTTATATATTAATATTTTATTCATATTAAATTTATATCATTTAAAATAATAATTTTAATTATTTAAATTAAAATTGATATAAAATAAATAAAATTCAAAGTAAACTTATAATTTAAAATGATAATTAAAATTAATTTCAAATACATGTCCTATAATTAAAAACAATAAAAATAAATATCATCACATAAATTAATCAAACTTAAATTTAATCATTTTCATGTCCAAAATGTTTCCAAATAATTATTAAAATAATATAAAAAATTTAAAAAAATTTAAAAAATGAAATAAATCTTATAAAAACTAACATTTATTATGTTTATTATTATTTAATGTGAAGCAACGTTGCATTAGGATGCAACGGTTGTCCAACTTGGATAACTCCAATGACATTTGCTTTTGAAAAATATTACTCCAGTATGGAGAACTTGGGCAAAAACTCCCATTGAAATTACTCTAAAAAACAATAATAAATCAACACAAAATTAACCTTTAAAAAAAATGAAATGAACACATTAAAATAAACTACAAATCACGAAGATTAATAGAAAATAATTCAAATAATCAAAATTAAAATAAAATGAGAATAAAAAATATTAGGTTGGACAAATGCTTATAATTAAGAACGAGACTGCAAACTGTACAGAAAAATAAAGCGAGCATACCGTCATGATCTACGCGAAACATAGATTCATAGAAGAGTCTGTAAAAGTGAAACTTGAAATATTTTTTCGCTAATTTTTTGCAGTGTCAAATCGCTTTTAACGATTTGTTTTTAAAACTGAAATATCAATACTATTGACATATAAACAACTTGGAGCAATGCATGAAGTGGGTAAAGAGATAAAAATGCATGAAGTGAAATATAAGGTATTTTTCAACTATAAAATGATACAAACGTCGATTTAAATTAACTTTTGATCAACTTAAATACGACTAACGATGTAAAATGTGATGAATGGAGATGTTTATTGAAGATTGTAACCAAATATTAAATATGATATAATAATGCGACTAAAAAATTTTAGGGGTGAAATTTTGGGTGGAACAACGAGCATAAGGAAGAAGGGTTGAAACAAGTCTGTCATCCAGGAATCCCTTTCTCGCCCGAGCATCGATAAACCTGCAGCGTCCCTCGATGTTAACGCTATTGGGGACAGTACCTGTTGTATAACCCCGGTGTTCAATTACCTCACCAAAGGGGAACTACCTTCTGACCAAAAGGAAGCAACGTGAATAAACACCGAGCTTACTCCTACGTTTTGGTCGAGCAGGAGCTCTACAAGCGAGGATTCTGCATCCCTCTCTTAAAGTGCGTCGAGGAGGATAAAGTTCCTCACGTCTTACGGGAAATCCACGAAGGAATCAACGCCCAACATCTAGGGGAAAGATCCTTGACGCAAAAGGCACTACGAGAAGGATACTACTTGCCCACAATGCAGCAAACGCTAATGAGCACGTCAAAAAGTGTGACAGGTGTTAGCGCCATGCAAATATGCACTTAGCACCCCCACATGAGCTTAAAATATTGTCGTCCCAATTAGTTGTCTATTTTAGGATTGACATTAATTTTAGTAAAATAAATATAGCAGTAGTATGTTTAATAGGAGATGTTGAGCAAGAAGTCTTACTTTATGAAAAAACGTGTTGAGTTGAGATGTTTTATCAACTAGAGCAACATGTCGGATAAGATGTCCTATGCAGAGTCATTCGACATCGTGACTAGTTTGGGCTGGATTGTTGGATCAATTTAAGATTTAACAGATGCAAAATATTCTGGAAATATTATACTATCCTATGTGGCGTTGATTTTAAGGTCTAGAAGATTCAAGCTGAGATCAAGAATAATATTGACTTTCTAATTATGGAGATAAATTAGGAAAGTCATGATTGAAGACCTATCTTTATGCAGAAGTTTCTATAGATTAGTAGTAGCTGATATGCTGCAATTTGAAGCCCAAAATCCGGTTGGGTAAAGGGTTATAAATAGAATATTGTTAACCTATAAGAAGGTAAGTTGTAAATGAAAAGATGTAATATATTAGGGCTTTATTTGTGTGCCACTCTCTAGGAGAGTTGGTCTGTGTTATTTGTGATTCTCTCGACTATCATGTTAATAAAAGAGTAGGACTATTCCTTGAGTTATAAGGTCATGTCATTCATTCATAAGCTTATAAGCATTTAATGTTTTTGTGTTAATCTCTCTTAAGCTTTTAAGCATAAAGTCGATTATTGTTCTTGGATGAAGCTTTGAAGCAAATCCAAGTGTGGTTGTTAGTCAAGAGTCTTGGTTGAACTTTATGGTTAATAGATATCACTGAGGTGATTTAGGAAGTGAGATGGATATTTCTCATATTTAGGGAGGACCTAAGTAAAAGTGTCATTGGGTAGGGATTAGGAGAGAAGTTGTAAACAGAGGAGTTTAGCTTTTAACTAATATTGCTGATAGTGGACTTTCTTCTTGGCTTGATAGCCCCCAGAGTAGGTGTTATTGTACACCGAATTGAGTCATCATATCTTTGTGTTTTTACCATTTTGCATTGTTCAGTTTTGTTTCTTGATTGATTGACATGTCATAAAGATGTTGGAACATTTGTCACGACTCTATTATAATATGTTTATATTAGTATGCTTTATTTTGTTCAAATGTTGTTACGTAGAGATCAATGTCTTAGACAGGTGTTAGGAAATTTGTTATATGTATACTAGAAATTCAATTGGTATCAGAGCAAGCATCATGTTCTGTTCTAAGTGATACCTAAGAAAGATACTTTTTGGTGCATTGGACTTAAAGGACTAAAGTGTTGGTTGTAGCTGCTGCTATGACCGTGGTGTTAATTATGAGGCGTTTCTCTTTTGTTTGTGCCTCTATAGTGTGAACGTGGATAACTCATATTATTCTGGGATGATCCCTTGAGAATGATCATTGATTATTTGTGACAGGGTGAGTATTGGACCTGTCTGAAGTTGTCAAACATGTAGCTTTAATGGTGAGCTACTGTGTTATGTTTGATTTATTTTCAACCATATGGTGTTTTATTGTCACCTACATTATGGTGATTATGTGCAATGGTTATCTTGTTCTACCCTGAAGTGTGTTGAGGAGTTGTTAATGTGTGATCTACTGCGTATGTATCTGAAAACTCCTGATAGTTTGATGTATCCTATGGTGTTGTGATACTCGGAGGATAGCTTCAACCAGCCTGCTAAAGTTGCCAAAGATACTTGAGGTTCATCTCAAGTCCACTCAATACGAAACTTTTAAGTGAGTTTATTGAACAAAGATCTGAAGAAAGTAAGAAGAAATTTATTTTGCTTTCAACCCTAAAAGGCCAATCTCTGATCTTTGATAAAGGATCTCTTGTTGTGTCGCTTGGAATGATGTCCTACCAGATGTTATAACATCACATTAGAAAGTTATGGATATTTTTCTTGACCAAAGGAATAACATTGTAGATGCTTGGGATGCTAAACAAATGTGTGTCGATCACATATGTTTAGAATCTTCTTCTGAACTGGAAGATGAGGTATCTTGGTTGTGTGTCTAAGAAGTTTTTGTTCTAGAAACATGTCTTAGATAAGTGTGTTGATCAAGAGATGATCAACATATTGATTCTTCTTAGCTGAGCTTAAAACTTTTAGAGGAGATTTTTTTTCTCAACCAGGTTCTTCATATATGGATGTTAAGTTCAAATGTCGAGGACATTTTGTCTGACATCTGGAATATTCATCTGGCTAAATATGCCAGATTTATGAAAGCTTGCATGTGGCTATCTGGTATAATGGAACGGTTTTGTTTGAGTTGAAACTAGGGGGAGTTCCTGTTGTTCTGGAGTTGGAAGACCTTGAAGAGATGTCTTGACATCTTTGTGTTGGGAATTTGTTTTTCTTAATTTGACAGGCTGGTGTTTCTCTTAAACAGGATGAAGGTTGTTTACTCAAACTTGGTATTATTATCAAGTATACGAGAACATGGAATTCTTGTTCTGTTGTAAGAGACAGTTAAAAGGGCCGTATGCAATAGAGATGTGCCATTATGTTGTTGATTAAGGTCTGCATTATTTGAATGTCATCCAAATTGCTTGGGATGAGCTTTCAAATTTTTTTGAGGCTTGATGGGTGTTCAGTCCTACAAGTATCTGTTGAAGGGAATCTCCTCTACTGATGCATAAGGATGATGTCTAACACCTCAAGGCCAGACAAGAAATCTGGACAATATTCTTATGAGAAGAAGGTTCTTGAAGTGTGTATGTTTGTGCATGTATGTATGATCTGGTCTTGAAGGTTGATCAACTGCGAATGTATACAAGTGTGGTTCTCTTGTGGTTCCCTTATGTTTCCTACAAGACTTATGTTTGGATTACTATGGGTGGAGTGTAAGGTCAAGGCACTAACCTAATTTGGAGTAGTATGTGGATTGTATATCTGTCATGACTGTTTGCACAATGAAGAATCCACTTATGCTAAGTGGTGTGCAGAAGAAGGATGTCAGACAAAATGTTCTACTTATTGTGAGAAGGTAGTATCATCTGTTGTATGTTTTTCTCAGAGGGAACTGTGAAGAAAGGAACATGAGAAAAAAAATTCTCTGATTATGTTATGCATTTAACTGATGACAAATACTTTGACGAGAGCTAAGTATTTGTTTGATGTGTGTGTCCAAGTATTCAATCTGAACTCTTTGTTTCAGAGAGTCTGTTAGATTTTATTTCTCTCCATGGTATTCAGGTGTTTGTGATGTCCTAAATGATGTTGTGACGTCATGCTTGTTAAAGATACTTGGGATTGTGGAAGATTCTGATCTTATCTATGGTAGTAAGTTAGGTGTATGCATAACTACTATTTTGAAGACTCCACTAGTATCAACAATTGCTAATGAAAGTAAGGGCAGAGGAATGTTGTTAGATATTATGGTCTAATCAGAGAGTTTTTGGAGGTGTTCTCCTTCTGATCAGAATGTTAGTAAAGCTTTTAAGAAAACTGAGAATTTTTGGAGTTAGCAAAGACACATCAAGAGTGCATGATATGTTGCCCCCCTAAGAATCATGACAACATGTGTGGATCTGTAAGGACATTGTTCATATGTTATCCTGATTAAAGTGAAGAAGTCAGAGTGCCTAGATGTATTCTCAAGGAGTGACAGTATCCGATTCAGAACCAAATCTACAGTGGGAGTTTGTGTTCAGCCTGAGGATTGTTTATCCATGACAGGGTGAGTCAAGTTTTTGTCTTGCGTATTGTTCAATCTTGTGGAGTACATATGTCTCTCTGGAAGATTGTGTTTGTGTCTGGGAGAATTTATTTTTTTCTGCAGATTTTTGTGGGACTCAATGGATGTCCTGGTTTATGTATGAGAGGTGTCACACATATGATGTTGTGATGTTTTGGTTTGTCCTGGCCAAAAGAAGTATTCGTAGAGTCCAGTGGATGACGTTGGGATTATGCTTTAGAACATTTGGATATTCCTGTGAAGCATTTTTTGTATTTTGGCTACAAAACCAAGCAGACAATGTCTGACTGAATGTCAGAACTTTGTTTAGGACATGTTTTATTTTGAGCCAAACAAGGGAGTGTTATGGACGGTGTGATCAAGCACGTGTCAAAAAGGAGTGCATAGAGTTTTTTCCAACTATGCATGTGTACTTATTGGGACTATTAGGTTCAGAAAAATATATTAAGAGTCAGTAAAGGCATTCAAAACTGACATGGACGGTGCACATTTACTTTTGGTGCAGTTAACTTCCTCAAATAACGTTCCTTTTTTACCAAGACCATCATTTCAGTTAAAGATCGTTAATTCTTAAAGAATTGCTCATCTATTTAAAGAGGTTATTTCGTTTCTTCTATCATTTTATGATAGTTTCTTTTTCAAAACTCTTATGGATTTTATCTGGGTTTGGGTGAGTACAGTTTGGGTATGGTTTTGTGGGAGATTTCCTTGTCAATCTTTGACTAAAAATGGGAAGAAAGATACTGGTCACCATTTGGGTGTTGTGTCTATTCTTGCAATTGCTTTGCAAGGATGTTTAACAAGATGTCTCAACCTCATGTCTGAGTGTTGCTTTAGTCTCTGTTGTTTTTGTATATTATGATATGAGTTATGAACACAATTGTGCCTTGTGTTATGAGTTACCTGAGGTCAAAACCTACACCTCTGAGTAATCATCTGGATTATTGAGCTTGGTGTTTGGTTGGTGTCATATCCCAAATTTGCCTGCCTTTAGTGCTACCGTCAAGTTTATTTTCAAACTTGGATTTTCATAAAATTCTTTTGATTTACATTAATATTTTTAGGGTTTTTAAATATTCGTTCTCAAGTCCAGTTAAAAATATAATAATTTATTTCAAGATTATTTGTATTTTTGAATAAACAAATACTTGCTCGTTTTCATGTACTTTCAATTGAATTTTTATTTCAATTAAGTAACATAACACAATTAGTAAGGAATGAAGCTTGCAAGTATAAGTCGTAGGTTTGAATCTCATGTTTGGCACTTTTGAGCTGTCTTTTGAACTTTTGGATAACTTAGTCTCTAAACATTTGCTTAACCTAATTCAAGTCTATAAATAGACCTTAGTTTGTCCTAGTTTTGTATTCAGAATTTCCACACAATTCACACACGAATCCACAAATTCATCATTTTTTCATAATTTCATAAATTCTAATGTTTTGGTTTATTACAGGGTTTTTAAAGAGAAACCCTGAAACCCTATTGTTGTCTATATCAGACAATAACCCACAAATGACCGATAATTTCATATGAGACCTCCCTTATTATTTCTTTAATTTTTGTCTTTCTTTTAATTTTAATCTATTTATTATTTTTACCATTTAATAATAATTAGTAATGGTTTTATTATTTCACTATCACTCTCACACAGTATATTCATCACTAATTTTTCGTTCACAGTACAAAGAGGCCAATTCCATACATTGTATATTCACTCACGGTACTTTCACACAATTCTCTCAATTTTATACAAGTCAAAACATTTTTTTTAAACTAACTATTCACCACTCTTTACGCAACACTCAACGTACAATGGCCACTTTGTACTTGTTTTGGCTTCACGTGCATACACTCCACTCAAATCTTCTTTGCTTTTCAATACAAAGTTGTTCCTTTCAATATTCATCACTATCACAACTTCCCTCAAACTTTTTTTTCTAACCACACTAGAAACTTGTTTGTAAATTAAATAACCTGCAAAATTCTCAAGCCATTTGTTTTAACGGAAACCAAAAACAGATTCAATGGAAACCAATTTGCATTGCTAACCATCAACATATTAAATCCAAAACTATGGATTATGCTAACAGTAAGAAACAAAGAAAAAGAAGAAGCTGGCGCCTTTCTATCTGCGCACGAAAAAAAAGCATGCTCAAATTTCATCTTTGTTTTAAATTTTTGTGTTTTATTCTGTGTTGCACAGGTCACGGTGGAACAAGAAAATTGAAAGAGAGAAGACGACGTGAAAACCACTCTGATGAACCTCCTCCGAAGCGCACATCTATTCCGCCGCAGATCGTCCCCGCGAACTCTTTCCAACCATGTGATTGCACTCAACGCTTCCAAAGCCTCGCCGTCAATCTCCATCACTGAGACGCACCGGCGACTACCGCACAGCAGCCCAACGGCGGAATCTTACAACTTCCGTTGTCTGCCTCTCGTTCTCCCCCGACTGCGCATCACGGCGTCACAACTGCACAACCCATCGCCAGATCGCGAGACCCACCGCTTCATCTCCGCCAGAACACCACCGACCCGTCCACCTGCCTCACGACCACTGCCGGTTGCACAATAAATCGGACCCGCTACCACCAATCATGGCGCCGACCGCTTCCACCTGCAAAGCTCCTTCCCACCACGATGCTCCGACCACTGCCGTAGCCCTTCCCAGATCCACGGTCGTGACTGGATCCTCGCACATACCTTCCGCGTATTAGCCGGAGATAAAAGAAAAGGGAATGGAAAAGAAAGTAAGTTGGTTTCTCCTTCATGCTCTGAGGAATTGATATATCTTTGTTTTTTTTATTTGTTCAAAATCCGCCATGTGTCAATATATGAATGGCTGGTCAAAGAGTTGAAATTTCTAACAAAGTGTGAAAGGAAAGATGTGTCGCCTGGGTATGTTTGTCGTTCAAAGGTTTTATTTATTTATTTTTAATTTTATATTAGGGTTTAGTGTTGTTGGGCTTTGGGCTTGTCTTGACTTTTTTTTCTTAAATTATTTTATATACTAATTCATACTCCTAGTAACTTAAATTCACACCCTCTAGTTTTTATTGTACATTTATTTTAGTTTTTTTATATATAAATTATCTACTTAGTTAATTAATTTTAGTCAAAACAAAACTTATACACATGTACATAAACATAAATTATTTTTTTTAAATTAAATTAATTTTATATTTTATATTTAAATATATTAAAATCCACGCATTCGTTAAATACTCCACCCGCGTCCCTCATGATGAACGACACGTGGCCAATATCTGATCACGTGATAAGGAGACTATATCAGGCTCCCCCGCTTTATGTCTTAAAACAGCTAACCAAAAATAAACTGTTTTTCTACTAACTTAACAAAAAAATCAAGATGTTTTCGAAAAAGGGTTAAGGAGAATGTCTTTCGAAATTAAACTGCGAACTACGTCTACGCTCACACAATTTTCAATCCAGCCAAGGTTCAATGATAAATTCGAAATCAATTCTTCGTAATCTATAAAAAAAACACCAACCAAATTGCGAACTACGAATTGGGACTCTGATTCCTCATAAGAGGATACGTAGGCATACGACTAAAATCGTGGCGAGTTCCCCTAATAAAATATTAAAACTCTATTTCCTAAAAATTGCGCTTCTAACCCTAGTATCCTTGCGAACACGGTAGATGAGGGGTGCCTAACACCTCCCCTTTGTCTATAATTGAGTCCAACAACCTAGAATCTCTAACTTTTTGGAGTTATCCTTTATATTCTCTTCCTTAAGATAAAAATTAAGGGTGACGACTCTCAAATTTAAAACCAGTTACAACAATTAGTTCTTAATGGTTCTCTTATGCCTCTTAAGTTTTCTCTTATGCTTCCTGTGAGGAAGATTCGTTCATGGGTTGAGGGGGAGTGTTTGTCATCTTCTTCCTCATGTACATCACCTGGTGTTGGAACCTGTTGGATCTATGTTTCTACCATTGGATCTATGCTGCTGCTATTAAGGGGAAGTGTCAATCATCCTCTTCCTCATGTACACCAAATGACTTCAGGACTTTTTACTCCTTTATCCTGAGGTTTCTATTCTTTGGTGTTAAGTCTTTGTGTTGCAATGAAACTGATGAGGAGAAGATGTCGAACATGATGTCCTAACATCATTATGACAGTGAAGAGATGTTCCTCCATGTTGTTGTGTTCAGTAGCTTCTTAAGACTAAAGACTAAAGCTGATGGTTGTAATTTTTTTCATTTTTGTAATCTAAGTTATAATTATTTATTTGTTTTAGGTAAAATTTGTCAAAGGGGGAGATTGTTAGTTCTCTATTTTATAATTGGCATTAATTTTAGTAAACAAATATAGAACCAGTATGTTTAATAAGACGATGTTGAGCAATAAGTCTTATTTAATGAAAAAAAAAGTTGAGTTGTGATGTTTCATCAACTAGAGCAATACGTCGGACAAGATGTATTATACAGAGTCATTCGACATCGTGATTAGTTTGGATGGGTTGTTGGATTAGTTTAAGATTTAACATATGCAAAATATTTAGGAAATATTATGCTATCCTATGTGGCGTTGATTTTAAGGTCTGGAAGATTCAAGCCGAAATCAAGAAAAATATTGAATTTCTAACTATGGAGATAAATTTATGCAGAAGTTTCTGCAGATTTGTAGTATCTGATATGCTGTGATTTGAAGCTCAAAATTCAGTTGGGTAAAGGGTTATAAATAGAACATTGTTAACCTAGAAGAAGGTAAGTCGTGAATGAAAAGATGTAATCTACTAGAGTTTTATTTGTGTGTCACTCTCTAGGAGAGTTGGTCTATGTTATTTGTGAGCCTCTCGACTATCATGTTGATAGAAGAGTAGGATTGTTACTTGAGTTGTAAGGTTCTGTCATTTATTCATAAGCTTGTAATTATTGAATGCTTATGTGTCAATCTCTCTTAAGTTTTTAAGCAAAGAGTCGATTATTGCTCTTGGATGAAGCTTTGAAGCAAATCCAAGTGTGGTTGTTAGTCAAGAGTCTTGGATGAACTTTATAGTTGTTAGATATCATTGAGGTGATTTAGGAAGTGAGATGACGATTTCTCATATTTAGGGAGGACCTAAGTAAAATTGTCATTGGATAGGAATTTGGTGAGAAGTTATAAACGGGGGAGTTTAGCTTTGAACTGATAATGTTGATAGTGGAATTTCTTCATGGCATGTAGCCCCCAGAGTAGGTGTTATTCTACACCATACTGGGTTATCATATCTTTGTGTTTTTATCATTCTACATTGTTCAATTTTGATTCTTGATTGATTGACATGTCATATAAGATGTTGGAACATTTGTGACGACTTTTTTCTGATATTTTTATATCATTATGCTTTATCCTGTTCAAATGTTGTTACGCAGAGATCAATATCTTAGACATGTGTTAGAACATTTGTTATCTGCATACCATAATTTCAGTCTTTGTGGCCGTTCGCATGATGGGGGATGGACATCCTCAGACCCTTCACCCAAAGCGTGTACCATAACAAGTACCTAACCGTCTTCGTCGAATACTTCACAAAATGGATAGAGGCTGAAGTCCTAGCCAAAATCACGTCGCACAACATACTATGTTTCTACAAAAGAAACGTACGTACCCGATTTGGCATACCACAAGCTCTTGTCACTGACAACCGAACACAGTCACTGACCGAAGCTTCCAAAATTTCATTGCCAAGCTCGACACCAAGCAACATTTCACATATGTTGAGCACCCACAAACAAACGGGAAAGCTGAAAGAGCAAACAGAGTCATCTTGCAAGGACTTAAGCACAGACTATGTGAAGCTAAAAAGAGATGGATTGAAGAGCTGCACAACATGCTTTAGGCTTACAAGACGACACCACACTCGACAACCGGGGAAACTCCTTTCTGACTAACGTACGATACCAAGGCGGTCATCCCTATAAAAATCATAGAACCGTCTAGGCGAACTTAATTCCCTCTTGACGAAGAACTAAATGACAAAGCCTTGAGAGAAGAGCTCGACATAGTCGAAGAGATTTGATTGGGGGCATCTCTTCGTGAGGCCACACTAAAACAGCAGATAACTTGCGACATGACGCCAAAGTCATAAAATGAAAATTCCAAGTCTGCAGTCTAGTCCTACAGAGAAATCAGAAAGATTTCCACAAAGGAAAGCTAGACACCAACTAGGAAGGCCCCTATCACGTCTGCGAGAAGACGGACATCAGGGTGTACTACCTCGAACACCTAAGTGGGGAACAACTACCTCGATCATGGAACGCTAAAAAGATAAAACAATATTATAGCTAAGCCCCAAGCAAACACTGGGGCCTAGCAGTCGACTTATCCTCTCCGATAAACAACGAGACTTGCTCGACCACAGAAGCATGTTGAGGTACGAACGTAGCCTTTAACAACCAAGAACCAAAGGCGGTTTCTCACTTACTGTGCAATCAGAACCTTAGCCCGACGGAGACACCTCGACCGAGCTCCATCATTGAAGTACCACACAGGAAGAACATCTAGCTCGCGATGGGACAGTTCACACTGTGAGATCTAGGCCCCAACCGTGACCTTGGCTTCGTTCAAGCGGAACCCAAATCTGTCTCCTCGACACGTCTCCATACGTGTCAACCATAAATCAGGTCGAGCACGAATTTCCCCACTTGTACAAAAATAAACATGGCAAACATGAACAACGACACAAAATATCTAACACAGAATAAACATGAAAAGTAACAGAATTCAAAAGGCCGACCACGAAGGCTGATGTTGTCTAGATATTACAAAATTTAGGGCACACAGGTCCAAACAAAAAATACTCAGGCAAAGCCCTGGTTCAAAATTTAAAAAAAATAAAGGCATGCAGGCCCGGACAAAATAACAAGAAACATCAATCACTCCCCAGAGAGGTTGCCTTCTTTGGTGTTAGGCTTGGAGGAATCAGGATAATGGACTACTTTACCATCGACCACCCGAGACAAAACCCCAGCCCCTTCAGTATTGAGATCTGGATTCAATACGACCAGCTGAGTCATTGCGGTCTCAAAACCATCGACCATCACTTCTACGGAATCCGACTCAAGAACCTAAATTTGAGCAACCAACTCTGCACTGGTCCTCAAGTTGGAAATTTCGTACAACTCATCTTAAACAGGCACCACGATATCCTTCAAGTTGGCGACCTCCTCCTCTAGACTTTTCTTCTCAAGCAGAACTGAGTCCCTCTCCTCAAAAGTTTTGGCCGGCTTTTCTTTCTCCTTTTTCAGCTCATCAGGTTGAGTCCAGAATTTTCCCTCGCTCTCCTTGAAGACGACCTTCAACTTCTTCACCTTGTCTTGGAGAGTTGTTTTCTCCGACTCGAGCTTACCCACCATA